GACAGGCAATGGTTGGAAAGCCCGGGCAATACGGCAGAGATCTCGCCGGTATTGCAGGGTATTGCGGAGTATTGCGGTACCACGCAATACCGGCCATCGAGCCCGAGGCATTAAGGGATTCCTCGGAAACGTAGGGATTGCGCGACAGGGCTAATGCCAGAAGCCCGGGAGATGTGGGGCAACATAGGGAGGAGGTTGCGAGGTATTTACGACATTGCCCCGAGATTTTCGTATTGTACGCTCTGGGGAGCCTAGGTAGTATATACCGTGCACCTAATAATGAATATCAATATTGCTTCGTTACATAGTCGCGATCGGGCTCAGGAGGATGGGCGGGCAGAGAAGTATATTGCTGAGCAAGACAGGAATACAGACGAGATCGTGTGACAATGTGTACGATCAGCTTATGATGTATCAAGAAAGGGTGAGACGTCTGCCCGCGGAGAGACCAGTGAGACCAAAGACGACTACGACGACATCGGTGGTTGCCACCCCGAGACGGCCAAGACACGTCAACTTGTTTCTGCCTGCGGAGAGACCAGTGAGACCAAAGACGAGTACGACGACATCGGCGGTTGCCACCACGAGATGGCGCGGATCCTCCAACTTGTTGAAGGCCGTGGACGACAAGACTAAAGGCGACTACGACGACATCGGTGGTTGCCACCACGAGACGGCCAAGACCCGTCAACTTGTTGGATTCCGTGGACGACAAGCATGAGCGTGACTCCTATGTTTGTATCTGAGCGTCGTCTGCGGTGTCGTGCTCAGATGGATCTTCGGCAGGCGGGGATGCATCTTCGGTTATGTCGATGAAGTGGGTGTTGGTATCGACTAGCTCTGCGGAGGATGACCGAGACCGCGTGTCGTCACGTTGTGGTGATGCACCACGAAGGCGAGTCGCGCGCTGCGCGCGACGTGCCAGGAGTTCCGCCATCCGGGCTTTGAGTACCTGTGCGCGAACATTGTCAGCGTCGTTGCAGTCTTCTTCGTAGACATCAGCAGCTGGATCCTGCTGGTCTGGAGCGCCGGCTTCGTTTCCGAACACCTTGCTGTATTGTCTGAGTTAGTATATATGTGCAGACGACTAGCGAATAGAACTTACTCGTTATAGAACGCGAATACATTCCAGTCCAATGGATCTTCCGATGGCTCAACGTATTCATCCTCAATGTCGTCTTGCCAGGCTTCGTACTCAATCGTAAGGAGGCGGTGTAGCGCGGTGTGAAAGCAGTGCCCGGATCGCTGCCTGTCGTCGCCATTCCAGCGATCGTCGGTGCTCAGCAAGTATCGAAGCTGTGAGTTGTGTAACATCAGAACGAGAGCTAGGCAACGCAAGGACACGTACCAGACTGGCGACATATACTATGTAGTCTGGCGTGACCTTTGTGATGCTATATATCTCGACCAAGGGTGCGCGTCCGAAACCGCGCAAGCCCCCGGAGCGCCCCACAGCAGAAGGTCCCTGAAATAAGTGTCGAAAACACTACAATACTGTTAGTAAAGGCATTTGGCGTCTTGAAAAAACGAACCGAAAGGAGGAGATTGCCCTTGAATATATGGCGGTCGGGGTGGGTGTTGTCGTACTTGATATCCGTTGGGAAAAGGAAACTCGGGTACGACATGTTGTCATCACGAGTCCGGAGGCGATCAGCCTGGTGGCACTTTTTGTGACGCATGGCACTGCTCGCTCCCTGGATCTTCCTGTTCTGGCTGATCTTCTGTTTGCAGAACCTGAAAGGCAGTGGAGTATCAGTGTAGATAGCAAGGAGGAGAGGCGTACTTCGAGGGGTCAAGGTCAAATTGGGCAAGTTCGTCAATAGGGACAACGAGGCGTCCTGTGGAGGTAGAGCAGTATCCACCATTTCGGGTCTTGAGGTCGCTTAGTGTGCCCGGGCCTGGCGGGGGGATGACGTCGCCCCCGGCTATGATAACATAGGGGAAGTACGAATGATAACTGGTCTTGAGTGTCGAAATGTCGGTGGTGCGACCAGCCGCTGCGTGAACTTGCATCTGCGGGCAATGAGATGGTGTCAGGACGTCAGGTCTAGGCACGTACGTATTTGGCGAAGAGGAAAACATTTTCGGGACTTGACAGGATTTGCTCGCAAAGCGCCGTGAACTTGGGAATATGATCACAAAGATGAAAGAACTTGGAGGTATAGAATTTTGCAGTAGCGGGACTCCTGGAACAATCCATTAGAGCGCACTCGAGGTGAAGGTATCGCAACATACATATGGGGTATAGACTTGTAGCACAACTCATAATCGTCGGCGTCGTGGGGAGCTGCGCGCATCACAGTCATGCCGGTCACGATGGTCTTGTGGACATCAGTATACAAGCCGCATAGCCGGTGACAATGGCGGCCCCAGGTTTTAAAGTGCTCGGTCAGTAGCTTGGGGTCAGCGTCCGTGGGACTATGGGATGTTAGTGAGGTTCTGATGTTTATGGTCGGCCACACACCTGACGTGATACTTATTCTTCTTCTTACTCTTGCGGATCGCCTTCAGAAACCTCCTTGCATCGCTCGCGGACACTTCTTCGTCGGCATGCTCGTCCTCCGACTCGTCCTCGGTATCCACCTCGTTCCCGGTATCCGCTGCGTCCTCGGCATCCTCTTCCTCCTCAGCAACGTCCTCGCCCTCCTCTTCGGCCTGCGCGGACAACTGAATTCGCTTCCCCTTCTTGCGAGGGGCGTCTTCGTCAGTGAGGAGTTCTTCGCCATCGTCCATCTGGGCTTGGGGGGCGGCCCGCATCCGTCTGATGGTGGCGGCAAACATTTCTTGGGTTTGAAGGGTGGAAGTGATGGACGTTGATGACGAGGGAGGGAGGGAGGATGACACGGGGTCGGATGATGGAGGAGGACGCGAGGACAAGGGATGCTGTCCATCACGGGCACGTCTCGAGGTCGGGATCGACGGCGGGAGGATCGACGGCGGGGGCGAAGGTTGCCGAGCGCCGAGTGCGCCGGGGTCGGATGGCAGTGCCCCAAGGTGGCGCTGCCTCACGCTGTTGGGGCGCGTCCTGACGGAATCGGATCCGGCCTGCGCGTGCTTGGTTTTCTTCCTTGTAGGACCCTCATCTTGAGATGATCGCGGGCGTTTTTGGGTGGAAGGGGACGCTGGCAGGGGTGTGACCACACTGTAGGAGGGGGAGGTATGTAAATGAGTGCATATATGCGGTCAGAAACGTATGTATATACGGTGCCTGATTACCGCGTGGACCCTTAGGCTTGGCGCTGGGGACCACGACGGGCGGCTCGACGTGCTGTCGGCGGTCACGAATCTTCCCTGTCTTGTTCTTACCCGCAGTGTCTTTCGGCATGGGAGCGCGTGAGGATGGGGGGAGATGGTGGTGTATAGGAATGAAGTTGGACCTTGAAATTTTTTTCGCGAGCTCGTCCTTTATACGCCAGGACGTGAACATCAGTGACGCGCTCGGCGCTTACACGGGCCCCAGGTGGACGCGTCAATCACGTGGCCGCGCTGGCAGCTAGTGAGGGGATTCTGAGCCGAGCAACGAACCTTTTTCATTCCCATCGCCCTTCTCACTGGCTATATGCGCCTGTCCTGGATTTTCCTCCTCGCGTTTTTTTTACTCCTCATGCCCCAGGAACGATGCTATGGGTGCCAGGACACGTTCAAGGACCTGGGATCTCACCTCCGGAATTGCTCCAAGGCCCACAAGTTCTACGACGGTGGGCTCCGACGACGAGTCGATGTCAAAGGCAAGGCCAAGCAACTTCGGGACGCAATGGCCCAGAGAAAGGTGGATGAAGAACGGGCGAGGGTCGCCGAGAAACAAGCGAGGATATCGGCTCGCCGAGCTCAATTAGAGGTACGTTGCTCCCCCTCGTTCGAATCGTACCAACGAGCACTACCCGAGTTACGTTCCTATCGCCACGCCAGAGACATACACTCTTGCGTGTCGCTAGCAACGTAGCTCGAGTGACCTGTGAGGCCATCAGGGGAGACAAAAGGTCAGCATCCTGGTCGTTCTTGAGGGTGTCCCAGGACACAGTCTCTTCTACTCCTCATCCCGCAACACAGTCTAACTGGGTTTACGCAGGCAGAACGCGAGGCAAGCATTCCAGTAATCTTCGCTCCGAGCAGAGAGGGTCGTCGTCAACGTCGCGTCCCAGCCAAGCTGGCGGATCTCCTCCCAACGTCCCTCAAGGGTCTACCCGACTTTATACTCAAGCCCAGAGTCGTCGCTCCAACAGGACGCCAGGCTGCTATAATCTCTGCACCCTCTACCTCCGCATCTGCCGCGCCTTCCCCTCGACCACGTGCGACGGTGGAGGACGCGCCCGAAGATGTCATGGAGGGCCTTGAGCCCGACACTCCCCCTCCGCCGTCACGACCTCCATCACCCCCGCCGATCAACACCCCCCCGAACCGCTTTGGAGTCTTCCGTCAGTACAGCGCCCCACCTTGCAGTGACCCTGAGGCCGGGCTCTCGCTTGACTCGTTCGCGGATGCAAGCACACACCTCCGGGCCCCTATAGATGCGCGCGAGCGCGACCCGTTCCGCCCCTTTGGTCCCACCGTCCGGGCGTGGCTCTCCGATGCAAGGGATATAGCTGCAAAATCTTTTGCGCCATTCTTGAATTGGTCGACGTTCAAGCTCATGGAATGGCAGTATTCCGGCTCCATGACGAAGTCCGCCGGGGAGCTACAACGCCTCGTCGACGACGTCATCTTGGACGACCGGTTCAAGAAGGAAGATCTCCTCGGATTCAACGTCGACCGCGAGCAGCGGCGACTCGACGAACATCAGGCCGCCGGTGGGGCATTCTCCGCTGCCGATGGGTGGCGTGAAGCCTCAGTCAGGCTCCATCTCCCCAGGCCCGGACTCGAACAAGAGGACGAAGAACACGCCCCTGCCTTCGTCATCGATAAGATTTGGATCCGGAGCCTCCTCGAGGTTGTGAAGGCCGGATTGCAAGACGTATCAGCGCGCAAGTTCCATTGGTTCCCTCATCGTCTTTTCCGTACTCGTGCCACCCCCGACAAACCCAATGCCGAGCCGGAACGCTTGTTCACTGACGTATACAACTCGAACGCCATGATTCGCGCCCACGAAGAAATCCAGAGCCGCCCTCGCCACCCCGACGACGCCGCCGATGTCGAGTATGTCGTTGCTGGCATCATGGTATACTCGGACTCCACCCACCTGACGAACTTCGGAACGGCATCCCTTTGGCCCATCTACGCATTCTTCGCAAACCTTTCCAAATATCTTCGCCTCAAACCGTCGATGTTCGCGGCGCACCATCTCGCCTACGTTCCTTCGGTAAGTGTGCAGTATCCTACCTGTTTCATGGGGTTCTCCATGCCGTCGGGTGATTTATCACCTTGCGAATGTTGTCCCACACACGCCGTCCTATGTCAGACTCGTTTAGTCTCCAAGTGAATTACCACCCCATTTGTCGGGGGGCCAGCTACCCGCCTGCCTCATTTTCACCCACCGTTGTCGAGCACGAACCGTCGCGCCCCGTGCGTCTAGAAATATCAGTTTGCCTGTCATCACGAGGACTGGCATGGGATCGCGCAAGAAGCCGAGCACAGGTCCATCGAAGTCGCCAGGACGCTCCGATTTCATCATATCTGGAGATGGTGATGATGCTGCCGACGAGGTTATCTTCCTGGGTCGGAAAGGAGACGAGAAATATCTCTGTGAGAAGTCGAGCACGTCGTTCAGGGTTCTCAAGCTGTCTCCCAGCTTGTCGGCATCATAGCACGCGCAGTCCATAGCTCAAGCGTTCTCGCATTGCCTGGTCCCTTTGATGGTCCATGATCTATGAACCGGGGATCACGAATCACGAACCTTCTACATTCGCTCTCATCCGTATTCTTGTGTCAAACGTGCAAACCTGGACGCTGGACATGTCCGATGATACTTGCCGTATTTTGTAGCGGTCGAAGACTCGCCTTGATGATGAGACGTTTAGCTTTGCGCCTACATAGACTCGCACTGTCTAGCATGCCAGATTCAGGTGAAATACGCAGCTGATGAACTACGTTACCAGATACCAGCCAATCTACTCCGATACTACGAGGAGACGTTCGGCGTGCCGGCTTCAGCCGCTGTCATCCGTCTGCTCAAGTACGACTTGATGCAGAAGGTGTGGCTCCTGCTGCTGGACGCGGAATTCATGTACGCCTTCACGCACGGTGTCATTGTTGTCTGCGGCGACGGGATCACACGTCGGGTCTTTCCCCGAATATTTCTGTACTGCGCAGATTATCCTGAAAAGTAAGGACATGCCTACGTGCCATATGTATCATCCTCGTTCAAGCCCGGTTTTTTAGGTGCCTTGTGGCCTGCCTGAAGACCCTTGCGCGTTGCGCCTGTCCGGATTGCACCACGGATAAGTGCGACTTTTGGAAGATGGGTATGAAGAGAGATATGGCAGCGCGCGAGAAGAACGCACGGAAGGACACCGGACTGTTTCACGACACGATCGCGAGGGTCCGTCGGTGGATATTCGAAGACGGGACCGCACCTGATGGAACTCATGTCCAAAAGACGAAGCTCGGTTTTTTTTCCATGGCTCCTGTTCGCGTACGTTGCACGCCTCATTGCTGATCTGTCATTCTGACCTGTCTCGCCAGTCCGCTTTTTCCTGGCGCTTCGCATCCTTCGGCTTCAATGTCTACAAATTGTTTGTGCCGGACCTTATGCACGAATTTGAGCTAGGTGTCTGGAAGGGGACCTTTACTCACCTCATCCGTATCCTCATCGCCGAGGCACGCGACGGGATTCAAAAACTGGATGAACGGTGAGCAGAGTGTGCTATTCATCTCATAGCGTCAACTGACAGTCATTCAGGTATTCGATGACGCCGACATTCGGGCGGGCGACCATTCGTCGCTTTGGGGACAACGTCTCTGCTATGAAGAAGCTTGCGGCTCGCGACTTTGAGCAGCTCCTCAAGGCAAGCTACCTACATGCACGCTGAACGTTCTCACCCCCAGCCAACACATTTTACAGTGCGCTATCCCCTGCTTTGAGAACCTACTTCCAGAGCCAGCGAACTCCATAGTGCTGACTATGCTCTTTGAGCTTGCGATGTGGCACGCATTGGCAAAACTTCAGCTGCATTCCGAAACCACGATCACTGCATTTGAGGGGTCTACAACTACGCTTGGCCAAGCGATGCGGGCTTTTCTGCGACACGTATGCCCTGAATATGAGACGCAGGAGCTTCCGAAGGAAACACAGTCACGCCAGCGCCGTAAAGCCCGGCGTGCCACGACATCTGGACCGAATGCATCAAACGCCCGTGTGTCGTCCAAACTCAAGAAATTCTCCGTCCTCAACACGCCGAAATATCACCGTCTCGGTGATTATGCTCGGAGTATAGCTGAAGTGGGTACCTCCGACAATATGTCTACGCAGCTCGTACGTATGGTTCTTGATCCTGTACCAACTATTGCCTTCCTGATCCATGATAGGGCGAGTTTGAGCACCGCCGCGTTAAACAGTTCTACAGGCGCACAAATAAGAATGGCACGTTTGGCCGCCAGATCGCCCTCGAAGTCCGTCGCGCCAACATTATCAACAAGATCGGTCAGTCGCAACATGAAGCCGTCAAGCCATGTCGCCAAAAACGGAAGCCGAAGAAGGCTCGAGCCTCCCGCGGACGACGACTCCACCTCCGATTTGATGATTCACAGCCGCTCCCTCCGACTCAGCCCGACCAGCACTACCATATCTCGAACGACAAGCGGTATCCCATCAAGCTCGACGACTTCCATTTCGAGAACGAAGGAGATCCAGCCTGTGAGGTCAGTCACGACAATGAATATCCATGCTGTTACTCACTCTACGTCGATCGTTACTGACTGAAACACGCAGAA